AGCCGTGGTTTATTTTTTCTGCCTTCTGCATTCTTTGTGATTGGTTCCTGGGCATCGGCTGCCATTTCATTGTCTGCGGAGCAATGGTATGACGCCCGGGTCTCGCTGCGCCTTAAAATTCTTAAACTGCCGATTGAGTCTATACCTTACTCGCCTCTCGAGCGCTGCAACGTGCTCCTTATAGCCACATGCTTAAGATACGCCGGGCGTACCTTATTATTTTCAGGCTTCTTGCTGCCTGATCCCTTCTTCCACATTCTCATCGGCTAACAGACTGCCTCCAAAAGTCTCCGCAAGCAACACCGTGCGTGATGAATTATGCGTCACATCTGGCCACTGAGAAAAGCGACATAGTTTCAGTTTCGATTGCCCCGTTCACGAATTACAGTGCTTCTCGGCACTCCGTAAAAATAAAGTCAATGCTCGCTCGCATCGAACCCGTTTATCTTTGTGAGAGCACTCGTTGAAACACGAGAGCTCGTGCTTCAACGAGCCATAGAGGCCTGACTCGGCTTAGCGGAAAGTAGGAATGTGCGGCAGCTCGCTTCCGGTATAGACCTTTTTCGTGTACTCTCGTAGCCAGCCACCAAATAGGCAGGTCCGGTATGGGCGATGGAAAAATAATAAAACCTGTCAACTTGTAAGCAGTAAGAAATAGAGGGGAGCCAAAACGAGAATCTGGGACGGTTACGCTTATATCCTAAATGCCTTCTGTTCGCGTGGCGACGGCAAAACAATGTTTTTGCCCATACTGGAAGTGACGACAATTCAACATGGCGGCGCCCGTGTGGAAAAGGTCTATACCTCTGAGGCGGCTTCATCGGCATTCGCACGAGGGAAAGATTCTGGGCACTTGTCCGCGGCGCGCGCAACGCGCGAAGCAAAACGTCGGACTTTTTTGCGACGCGGGGCTGCGAGGTCAGCTCCGTGGCGGCGAGACGGAGGTTGGGGTGCTCGGTGTCAATTGTAGAGACCGCTAGAATTCGTCCGCGGTGGTGCAAAGAATGGAAACCGCTAAACTGAACTGCAAGCGCGGACGTCCCTTAATTTCCCCCGCACCTCGCCGCAGTGAACGACGAAGCTAAGGCGGCAATTGTGTCCGCCGTCGAAGTCACGCACATCCCTTCGCGGATGTTTGCCCCGCGAGATGACCGCTTTAGTCACGTCCAGTGCGCAGAATGGCCCTCCTGGCTCGCTAATCCTTTAAGACGCCTAGGACATTAAGAAGGCGACGGACCAGCATTACAAGCCCACTATTACTTCTTTCATGTGCCATCGTAGTCCTGCGCTTACCTGAAAACAAATTCTAACACGTTGAAAGCACCCCCCCCCCCCCCGCCAAAAAAAAAAAAAAAACTTTATTTGGCACTGAAAATGTACTGGTAGGGGAGACATACACAATTAGAAATTTAAGCGAAGTCACATATTCAAAATTGCAAACACTCACTGCCTTTGATGGTGTCGGGGTGTCGTGAAGTGAGGTTGGCAAATCCATATTAAAACTGGTGGCAAATGGGTTTAAACGACGCTTTGCGCGGCCGATCGCCTTGATTTCGCAGGAAGTCCTTTGTGCAATTTCAATGAGTGCGGAGCGATGATTCTCGAGACCCCGCAACGTTGTGCGCTTTTGATGCTGTCAGTGAGTACACTCTCAACAAAAGGGTTGTCGTGGGGTACTAACTTTGGGGTCGTCAGAAGCCGTCACACATATCGCTACCCCACCTTCGTTATACTAACAACCCCACGGGTAATCACACGGCAGGCAACCAACAGGTTGCCACAGTGAGCACCCCCAAAAGCAACATGGCGGCTGGCAAGCGACGGTGGAGCAGTACGAGTAAGGCCTAGCGAGCTGGACTGCTTTTTGCTAAAATACGATTCTCAAGTGCGTGCGCCCGTTCGCGGCCTTCCGTGCGCACTGAAGCACTCCAAAACGCGCCTCGAACCACGGGCACCGCACATATTACGAGTAGAGGCGACGATGTGAAAGGAAGGGGGGGGGGGGGGGGGGGGGGGGGGGGAGGCAGGCAGGCATTTGAGGGGGTGTCCGCGACTGCTTTCGCGCGGCCGGCTGCATTTACTTCGCGACCAGAAAACATTCAAGAAAGGAATCGTATAGCGACAAATGGAATGATATCTTTATTGAACAGAGCGTCTCCTTGCTGTGCTTGCCGCAAGTGATCCGGCGGTTTCGGTTGACAGCGGCGAGGAGAAGCATCACCGATTTAAGCGGCGTCGGTTCCGATCGTTCAATGCTCCTGCTCACCTGTTAGCATTCGTTATCCACTTCCAAGTCCCTGGTAATCCTCACCGCGTTTGTGCACGCACTTAGCGCTATTCACCACACGGAACACCCATTCAACTGGCGATGAGACTGATCCCACTGGGACGAGAGGCTGAGAACCGAACCACCGAACCCTTTGGGGCTGCTCCGTAGAGCGATGGAACGCCTCCATGTTTTTCACTCAAATAAGTAGACACATAAACGCGCGACTCCTTGAATTGGGCGCGCCACGCGCCACCTAACGGACAGGGCTCAAACTAGAAAAAAAACGAAGCCAACAGTTTTTGTGTTCGGCGCCTCGCCAGACATTCACGTATGTATACATATTCTACTACACACTTCACACATACGCGACATACAGACACCACAGCATTCTACACAGAAGCGCGTTCAGACACAGCACAAGGTACTGTATGCTACATGAGATACTGACACTCTACATTCCTATACACACGTCTAGTCGACACCGCCACCTTATATACTGCTGTATTTTCTGTGACCAATTAGGATGGTGACCACTGTCATATTTTGCATAAATACGAAAAGACTGTGCAAGGTTTACGCGTATATATTATTTTCCTCTACTGCCCTTGGGAAAGCGCTCGTATCTCTAATGTTATTTATTGCAAAAGTGAACTGCAGGTTATGAATAAATTTGAATAGTCGCTACACGTCACATTTTGATCAGTTTCGTTTTCTCGCTAGCATACACTTTAAGTATACAGAAGCCTGTTTAATTAATTGTATTAATTATCGAAAACAATTTCTGCAATCACAACTTTCTGAACACGCTGATGCATTTTCTTTTTTCTTTTTACATATCCGAATGACTTCAGCGGCGGTTGAGTAAATGTTGAGTACACTGAGCGCGCGCAGGTGATTCTGGCGAAGCCCGTCCGCCGGTCCTCCCCGAAACGTTGTTTCAGTTTTCTTCTTTTCGCTACAATTGTTTTTGCTTAAGCGCGTGTCTTTCAAATATGCGTTCTATGCGCTCGCGCTCGCGCCAAGGGGACAGTGCAGAATTGCCGCTTTTGGGCCCGTGCCTTCACCTGCAACGAACGCGAAATACGTATGCTAAATTATGTAAAGCCTGGTTCAGACAGTGGCGTTTGACTGCGTCTGACTGCGTTGCGGCAGCGAGAAACCAGGGCATCCCTGCTGCTTTCATCGCGTGCCAAGATGATTCCTTGAATTGGATTCCACGCTTCATACGAAGCACAGTCGTGCCGGTGAGTCGCTTTCGGTTCTCGACGCAAAGCTGTCAAACTCATTCAGACGCAAGTGTCTGGACCGGCCTTACCGCACATTCACACTGGAAGCGGATCCGCGTTTGCAAAGTGGTTGCGAACGCGGTTGTATAAATATCCAGTACGATTGCGCGCGCACTCCATGACATCAAGTGTGCGTGCAATTGGACTGGATCTTTATACAACCGCGCTCACAACCGCTTTGCGAATGTGGATCCGCTTCCAGTGTGAATGAGCTGTTGAGCATCAAAGAACGCCGAAAACATCATTCTCTGCGCTGCACCTGCTGTCGTCTCCGGCAATACTTTTTCTAAAAAAAAAAATCTAAAACAAATAGCACGTATATGTTTGCCAATGCCTTATTTTTGGAAATTTACTTGGAATCTTTTATATAGATAAAAGGAACGCGTGCGGGAAGGCCTGAAATCCTAGTCCCTTTCGAAGTACTCCGCCTTGGATGACACACACTTGTTTGAGCTTTTTTTTTTTTATCGAGTATGCTCGATGAAATGTGCCAAATGAGCCAGTGAAGGTGAATCATGTATCCCGAGACAGAGAAATATACACACGAACATGATCGCAGATATCTGTGTAGGTTCGTGCTGTCCGGCCTGAGTCGTGGTGTGCAATGCTTCATACTTCACTGCACTTGCAAGCAAAAAAATTGGGTACGACAGGAGCGCAAGTTCGGCGGAACGGGCGGAACCGAGGAGGCCATTTGAAACTGAACTGCACGCAGAACTGACCGATCACACCTTTATTGAGAGCACGCTCTTTACTGAACCGCACAATAAAAGACGACAAGAGTATCTCGTCCGACGAACATTCAAGTCAACTCACGCCTGTGCGTAGCTTTCTGTGCTTTTCTAGAGATTTGGTTAAATTCCTCGAGCACGACGCCAGCTGCCAGCTGTTGTTTACTGTTGTACATGGTAAAACCCGCGACGGAACCAAAAAGGACAACCGCGATACTTTTTATCTGCCTCGGGTTTTAGTAGGTGCGTACCAATGTTGCCTGTACTTGTTTGTTTTCTGCCAGTTTAGGCGAAATAAGCCACACGCTTGTTTCGAGCGGTTTAAATTTGAGTAAATAATAACCAACGCACAAAGAAAACAAGTTTTAAGTACTTTTTGAGATTTTTGAAGTGACTCTTACTATTAAACGACTGCATGCACTTGAATGTTTAATTTAAGAGTTTATAAAACGTGACTACCCCATGCTTGTCACCTTCCAACAGGGTGCTAACTCTCAATGGCTCGAGCCCAGTGGGTAGTTAGGTAAGCCTGTGGGGTAGTTACAGCCGTCAAAACGCACGATGACAAAGGGGGGTGCTAACTTTTTCTTAGAGTGTAGAGGTGCTGTTTCGTGCCTCTAACCTCGTGATTGTCTATTAAATGAGCAAATGGTTGGGCAGATTTTGATGCATTCTTATTTTCCTCTCAAGCAGGTTTGTTGCTTTGAGATTTACCTGAAAAATGGTCCTGCGACTGAGCTTAGGCGCCATCTCGAAGCGTCGGGGTGAACCACCTCGCATCCCGTATATGACATGACATTGTGGCCCACTATATGACTCTCTCGTTAATATTCAATTGAATTCGATTGTATAGCGCAGCTCTTAGGCGCCCGCGCCCGCATATGGCGGCGTCGGCGTCGGCGTCAACGTTGTCCTAACCGCTATTTCCGGGAGAGGGCGCCTAAGAATCACATAATGCAACACTGCGAGCCTTGCATTATGGGGCCTCCACCGTGCCCTCCCTCGTCCTCTCTGGCTTACCCACAAACAATAAAACAGATAACAAAAACATGAAATGACGTGCCACGTCACTGCCGCAATTCGGAACTAGCGCGGGCCATAAATCAGCAACGGCTGTCGTCTACCCAGTCAAGCGACTTCGAAACTAGCAGTACGCAGAGAGCTGGTCGAAAATTGAGTCCGCCGAAACCAGTGGCCGGGATGGTCTACATTCCTTCGCCGGCGCTCGCAGTGTGCGGACGGTAGGATGGCAGGCTCCGATGGAGCAGTGATAACGGCCCCCGCTAGCCGCGGTTTTTCTGCAAGCAATGACTATAAGATGATTCTGCTCCCTCTGCCTTCTGAAGCAGTCACACTCAACTCTTTATTTACTGCATTGCGACGTTACCGGCAGGCCGTATCGGATTGACGATTTCCGAGGAGCCTTCGAACGACTGGAACTTCTGGGCGACGTGGCGACATTCGGCGCCTACCAGATGAATCATGTGTGGCTAGCCACCTTGCATTCAACGATAGCAAAGGACCGCCTTCTCGCGTCGCAGGAACTGCTCATCAAAGGCAAGCGGTGCATCCCGATTGAGCCGAAAAACTCAGAGATTCGCCAGAAGATTCACTGGGTCCCTTACCATGTTTGCTAAGTGAGCGTAAACATGCCGACGAAACAACTTGAGAGAAGTTTCTTCAAGTAATGCCTTAAATTCCTCGTGACATCTCGGAAAAAATAAACGGAAAAATTACAGATGCAGAAATAGAAGCCGCGATTAAAGAACTGAAAGCTGGAAAGTCTCCGGGAGTGGACGGACTGGGGTCAGGTTTTTATAAAACATTTTCAAGCCTCTTAACTCCAATGCTTCGTAACGTATACGAAGACATTCTAAAAAGAAACTTGCTCCCTCCATCGATGCGTCAAGCACTGGCCGTTCTTATTCCGAAAAAACACGCGCCCTCCAGCGTTACAAATGCGGACAACCTCAGGCCAATCAGCTTACTCACGACGGATTATAGGATTCTTGCGAAAATTCTGACTAAACGCCTTGATCGTGGTTTAGGCATTATTGTAGCAGACCATCAGTCTTATGGGTTCAAAGGTAGATCTATTACATCGAACGCGCATACAATAAGAATTATCTGTGAGACAGCGGAGGCGGAGCAACACCCCATAGCAGTCCTCCAAGTAGACATAAGCAGAGCTTTTGACAGGGAATCACACTCTTATCTCTTCGCTCTGCTCGAACGTTGTCGCCTGGGAGATCGACTAAATAGATACATTAAAATATGCTATAAAGGCATAAGCACTCGATTATTAGTTAAAGGACGCAAGACTGCCTCTTTCCGGGTAAAATCCTCAGTCAGACAAGGGTGTCCAATGTCACCGCCATTGTTTGCATTATACTTAGAGCCCCTGTGTAAAACAATAACAGCCAATACGTATATCCAGGACGCGAATCTAGGCGAGCTACCAACTAAGATACTTGCGTATGCAGACGACGTCGTCATTGTATGCACTTCTAAACGAGAATCGAAGTTCGCTTTGAAGCATATAAATGAGTTCTGTAACATTTCAGGGGCAAAAATGAGCACCTCAAAATCAACTGGGTCTTGGCTAGGCCGATGGGCGACAACACCTAAGTGCTATATGGGCATGAACTGGTCTTGCTCACTCACTACTTACCTCGAGGTTGGGCTTGAAACTAAACAGATAAGTACGAGCCGGGACAGAATTCATTTCAAGAGCGTACAGGGGAAGATGAGCCAATGGTACGGACGATACCTCTCTTTGTTTAATGGATCTTTTGTTTGCAATTCTTTCTTTTTTTCTAGCGTATGGTACGCCGCACAAATTGTGCCTTCTCGTTCATCAGACATTCACAAATTTCATAGACTTTGTGCCACCTTCATTTGGCAATCATTGTTTGAACGGACGTGCATAACTAATTTGTTTTTGAGTCTTTACAAGGGAGGGCTGGGGCTCGTTAATTTAGAGTTGAAATTGAAAGTCCAACGGTTTTTGTTTTTCCGGAACTAAGTGAATCCGGGGACGGTACGGTCCTTTAAATGTTTAGGAGGGCGGTACCTGGCAGCCTGGCAAGTGAGTACGGTGGAGGCTTCTCCGAGAGCTTATGTACTTAGATTTTACAAGGAGATCGAAGACGCGATCGATTTCTTCCAAAGCCGTTTTTGCTGGGACTACCTCATGCAGGTGAAAAGGGAAAATCTTTACGGAGATACCATCGATCTGGCTATACCGCCTCCGTTGTATCACCCCCCACATGAATCCCCAGGGGGATCGCCGGTATCCAAACTTTTGCGGAAATATCCCGCACAAACCAGCACCAAGGATTTTTTTGTTAAATTCCACATGGAAGTTCTACACGTGAAGACATGGCTCGAAGGAAAATGGTTCTCTGTGCCGTGGACCACTAATTGCGCATTGTGTCCCTTCCCGGAAACTTTACAATATGTGTTCATGTACTGTACAAACGTTGAGATATTTTGGTCGGAGCTCGGCCACGCGTTCAGCATAGACACACGGCCGGACTGGAATACTATGAAGTTTCTTGAAATTCAAGCTGGCGATAACAAAAATTGTGTCGAAGTGCTTTTTCTACTCGGGCTGCATGCGATCTGGAAGTCGCGAGTGGACCATTTAATAGTGACTGAGAAAAGCAAAGCCGCTTGGAACCACTTTGTGGACGGCTTTGCTTACACCGGCAGCGTGCTGGAGCACACTGAAATGTCTGACATTGCGCAGTGGCCCGCAATGAAATCCTGTTTAAAAATGTACATGGCAAAAAGAGCCCAAATTATAAATAGACACCGCATAATTTGTAAATGACCATTTCCCCTTAATCAAGCGTGCTGCGTCATGCTAGTGACATGTTAGAAAAATGCTGTGCATATATGCTTCTTCTTTCTGCTGCTGCCAAGTCGGCGTCTTTTACTTTGTAAATAAACACGTTTTATACAATAAAAAAAAAGGGGGAGGGGGCGGGATGGTCAAATCGGTTAAGGCGTCGCCCCGGACAGGCGAAGGTTGCGGGTTCATTCCCCGCTCTCGGCCCAATTTTTCGCCAGCTCTCTTTCTCTTCTCCTCTCCCTAACTTTAATGCAATAAATTCAATAATCACCTTCTCCCCTCTTCGTTCACGATATTACTACGGCTGCACTTGTCAATATTCAATCATTCCCTTTATATAAATTATATATACAGGGTGTCTCACGAAAGGTGGACAAATTCGATATTGCAAAAACTACGCGTTGCAACAAAAAAAAAAAAAAAAAAAAAAAGACTCGTGTCGTTTTGGTCCTGGGCTGGGGGCCCATTTAGGAAAATATTAAAGTTTGGCATAATTAAGTTAATTATTTTTTGCGTAATTAACTTTTTGATATTGTGTTTAAGGGCATTGTTTTAATTAGAAAATTGCTCAGTATCATCAAAAAACACTAAATCAACAATTTGCAGAAGCCATAAAATGCTTCGCGAGCCTTCTATCGTTCTGCGATTTGTTGATTTAGTGCTTTTTGATGATGCTGAGCAATATTTTAATTAAAACCATGCCCTTAAACATAATATTAAAAAAGTTAATTACGCAAAAATAATTAACAACTAAATTACCCACATTTTAATAATTTTCCTAAATGGGCCCCCGGCCCAGACCAAAACGACACAAGCCTTTTTTTGTTGCGACGCGTATAGTATTCGCAATATCAAATTTGTCCACCTTTCGTGAAACACCCTCTATATGTATGAATGTATAAGCGATATAGAACCTTCGGTGAAACAACAACAACGGACGGGTTTATTTAGGCGTTGCGGCCAGAGTCCGGCCTTCGTCAGGAATAGTGCTACAATTGAATACGGAGGGGAGGGGGGGGGGAATTTATCCAGAACTACAGGATAGGTTCATATTTTAAACTGGAGGTAGTGACGGCATGAGGTTTGCAGACGCGGATCCGCGTGTGGGCACGCGAGACGGGAGATGGACACATCCAGAGAGCCCAGCCGGTCCAACGGCGAGCCCCACGGCACCCGAGCTAGCAGCCAGCCAGAGCGCCGACAACATCGACGTACACGAGTATTTGACGCCCTCCAAGAGCATGACGCCCCGGTCGCCCCAGCAGCTCCTGCAGCCCCAGCAGCCCCAGAAGCACCCCGTCGCTACAACCTGCGGAGACGCGCAGCTCCGAGTCCTGAACCGAAAGTATATTGACTCCAATTTGGTGAGTCCAAATTTACGGCTCCAAACTACAGTACCACTTTTCTTGAAGTGTTATAAGGTCGCAGATAAAAACATTAGGCCACAAACTATATAAAACAACCTTGCAAGTTTATCTCAACGCAGGCATTACTCCGAAGGGCATGTCATTTTTCCTTATTCATGCTACCACCAACCTTGACGAACTCGACCGATCGGGATGGACACGCGTTCTCCTAGAGGCCTCCCTTAAACTGATACAAGTTGCTATTAATCATAGCGAAATACAGTTAAAGCATCTAACTACGATAACAGTCGCTCTCCTCCGCACACACAGGCACAGAATTAACGCCACAGACAAGTTTGAAGAAAAGAAACGACGCATCCTCGAAATAACCAAATTTCGTAAACTTGAAGGAGATAAGGCTTCCAACCCCATACTATGGGAGCGAACCATGCCATTAAACTATAGCATCGATATCCCATTACTAACCGACTTAACTAATAATAACCAAAGTATCAATAAACCGTGCGGCACTATTATTTTATGCGAAA